GGATCTAAAAGACGCAGTATGAAACGGGATCCTTACCCTTAATGGTTCTATACCAGCTCTGGACACATCATCAAACGGTTATTAGGGAAGTAACAGTGAAAATCAGAGTGTGTTTCTGGGCCTGTAAGGTATTAAAGCCTTGGGGGCAGAGAAAGAGAGATGAGGTGTCTCCAGCCCTAGTGGTACAGGTCCAAGGAGACCAGTGTGTGTTTTCCAACTGGTAGGAGAGTCCTAGGGAGCTGACAACTCCCCAGGCAGCAGAAAAAGTATTGAGAGGGAATGTCTGACATCAGGAGCCAAATTCAGTTGCTGGTGAATTGCAGAAACATCTCCTTCATGGTCCCATTTGCACCAAAAGAAGGTGGGAGGAAGGGGATCCCTTTCCCTTTCGCCTCTCCATGAAATCCCAACTTATGGCCAGATTGATTTCTGTTCTCCTGATATTTCTGCATATGGGAGCCCCTGAACGTAGCCATTGATTCTGTACCGCCTCCTGGAAGGGAGGTTTCACACAAGCCTTAGAGCCAAGTTTCACCAAGGCTGGTGGTTCTCCTGTGGACTTCCTGGGCTCAGAACACTTCCTGGCATACAGAAGTCCCATCAAAACCTGGGGGAGTATTTCTTGCCCCAGCAGCTGTCTTCTCCCTCCCCTCATTCCCAGCATCCATTGAGGAGACTAGTGTAATCTGAGTGGCTCCTGGCAGCTAGGTTATGGTGATGGGAAATGAGGCCTTTCTATGTACCGAACACTACCTCCCATTCCCTGCCTGTGGGAACCAGGATCCTGTATTCTAAACGAGCAGATGTCAAATGTCAGGTGGCCTGAGCAGCAGTCTCTCTAGTGTTTGTATTTTTTTCTCAGCCATACAGGGAATACATTTTATACGGCTCTGGTATTAGGGAAAAAAGTCTGAATAGAATAATCTTGAATACTTTATGAAAATAGAATCTTTCCAAGCATTTTTTGAATACTTGAGTCCATTATGGTGATAACTTTTAGCCCTTACCTTACCAAACACAAATGTAAGTTCTCTGTAGAGTGTGTGTGAAGTGCAGTAGGAAGCACAGCCATTTCTTATCTCTCTCCAAAAATGTCACTGATCCCAAACAATAGAAACAGAAGAGAACATTGAACTGTGCCTTCTCATTCTATTCCACCTGCCTCTTCCCCTGACATTCCCCTGAGATGCAGAGTGTTTCTGGGAAAGCAGCCTAATCAGATTGTCTTTTAACTTAAGCCTGAGTGGTGTATAGATCAGAATGGTATCTGTCTTCTGTGGCCACTCCTCTTTGTCTAGACTACTAGACTAAAATGACCATCTTCCCTCTCTGCCGGTTCTGGGTCCTGGGGGTGTGGCGGGAAGAGAGATGAGCCCAGCTCCTCCCTGTCTCCGTAGCCCAGGCTGTGGGGCTGGGCAAGACCACAGCCCCAGACAGCTCTGTGCTTGTGCTGCCAGGATGGGGACCTGCCCGTCTCTACCCCAGCGGGACCTCTTCACTGCCACTTCCCTCCTAGTCCTGAGCTTTCAACAAGGCAGGAAGGGGTCCTGAGTTGCAAGCTGTCAGTAAACTAGAATCTTCTCAGCTTGACTTAACCACTGCAGTTCACAGAAAACAAAGCACACTTTCTGGTCTGGATGAAATAGTTCTGAGTGTCCATTAGCGTTTCCCAGCTGCCCTGCAGTCTGAAGTACCTCACATGCCCATCCAGAGGGTAGGCATGGAAACCTGGGCTTTTCCTGGCCTTTTGTAGTTGGCGTGAGGGTAATTCCAGGCTCAAACAGGAAGGAACAGAGCAAAGAAGCAGTAGGGTGTTCACTCTCATTTCCAAAGGCCCTTTGGGCAAAATCTCGTGAATTGGGCAGCCAGGAGATGTTGATTGGACAAGGTGGCCGGGTCTTTGGGTGTTAGGTGCTTATGATGATAATGAAATACATGATGTAGATGACTTGACCTTATTTCAGAAGCTATCTTAGAGTCACCCTCCTTTTCAGCTCTTTCCACCCTTGACTCTCTGCAAGGCCTTCGGAAAACAATGTTTTCGTTGCTGGCTCTAAGTAAATGGAAGCTGCCTTCCCTCCCTCCTTCCCATTCATTCAATAGGTTGCCTATTTACCATGAGCCAGGCCTGGGGGGTAAAATGGCAAATAAAACATGCTTGATTCCAGCCCTCATGGCGCTTACAGTGGTAATTCTCCCACATACACGATGGTTGACCTGCAGGAGTGATCCAAAGGCTGGTGGAGCCATTCCAGGGAAAAGGTCCCATCCCCTCATGTAGGAAAAAGTTTCCTCACCTCAAGCACCCTACTTTCTCCTATAAATGTAGAAAAGGAGAAAGAAGGCGCATCAGCAGCTATCTGTTAAATGCCTGCTATTTGCCCAGTTCCAGGCTTCTATAATCTGATAGGGTAACCCAGGCTTCGAGACCTGGCACTGGTGTGTCATTTAGTGCCAGGTTGGGCAGTGCAGCCTGGGGGTGGGGAAGCAGCTTGGCCTGGAAGAGAAGTGCTGTCTCCAGATGTCCCTAAGCCCTTCCTATGGAAGAGGGTGCTCTAGGGGAGTAACCAGACCACTGGATTGACATTAGGAGAAAGGTTTAAACCTGTAAAAGGACAAATGTTATAGATGAGTGCTTTCTGCAAACAGGGTGAACTGACTAGGGGGGAGTTAGCAAGTGTCCCATCACTGGAAGCCCGTCAGCAAAATCAGACATGGGGTGGGAGCTGGGATTACTTGACCTGTGAGGTCCTGGCTGCTAACTCAAGATTCTGTCCCTGGAGGAATGCTCAAGAAAGAACTAAGAATTTTCCTACAGATATACTTGCAAATACATACAAAGATGTATGTAGAACAGTATTCATCATAGCACTGTGTAGAGTGAGAAAACAGTGGAAACTCCACATGTGCCCATCAGGAGACTGGTTAAATAAATTATCATATTGCCATACACTGGATGACTATACCTCATCCATTAAAAAAAAACAATAATGTTCCGTATGAACTGTGGGAAGAACTCTAAGATGTATTATTAAATGCAAAAAGCAAATGCAGAACAGCATATGTGGACTGCCTCTGTCAGAATGGGAGGTGGAATACGTTCGTCTGTCTGCTTACGTGTGAACAGAATCGAACTAGAAGGATACTTGAGAAACTGGTTATCCTGGTTGCCTCCGGAGAGAAGAACTAGGCAGCTGGGAGATAGGGCTAAGAAGGAGACTTTTCTCTGAATAACCTTTGTATCTTTTGAGTTCTGAATCATTTGGATGAATCACTCGTCAAAAAGTAAATGTAAGTAAAAATATTTTTTTTAATTAAAAACAAGTTTTACCAGGCTGGAGCTCTGAGGACACAAGAGGGGATGTGGAAAGTAAACTAACTTTTCTTGAGCATCTACTGTGAACCAAGTGTTCTGCTAGACGCTTTATGTACATGGTACTTTAATCCACACAACCCTTTGTGGGAGGCAGTAGCTATCCCCGTGTTCATAGATTTAACACTGAGGCTTTGCTAGGGTGGAAGTGCTTGCCTATCCATTCTGGGTCTTCCCTCATTGCACCCTGCTGCCTGCTGAAGGAGGCAGCACTTGAAATGGGCAGGGCCAAGGAAAGCGATGTGTGGGGAAGAGAAGGAGGGAAGCATTTTCTTCAAAGGACAGTGCAGAGCTGCTGTGGGGCTGCCCGATTCTGGATTCTGTGCTGGCCTCTGGGCTGCTGGGGCCTGATAAGTAGAGACACACCCTCTGCTGCCCCATGGGTCAGATGTGTTGTACTTCCCTTTGCCTCTGCTAAGCTCAGAGATAGAGTTCGCAGCACGCATTCACAGGCAATCAAGTGACTGCCTGAGCCCGCGTCATTTCTGTGGGTGGAGGAAAATGCCTCCCTGCTCTCTGGCAGCAAGGGGAGAGGTGGTGCTTGCTCTGTGCTCTTCTGACGGGTGTCAAATGTGCTGTCTTTGTCTGCCAGCTGGAGGCTGGCTGGAGAGTTGTTTTTCTGATTGTCAGACCCAGGCTCCTTACTTGCACTTAGAGGAAAAAGCATCCAAGCCCTGGTACAAAAGGTCCTCTTTTCATTTCTTTGGAAAAAAGAGCAATGAATGAGCTCATTATCACTGCAACCCTAAAAGGAAGAGGAGGGGAGGAAGGGAAGGCGGCCTCCTCCTCACCGCCCAGTCCTGTCCCTGGCCAGGTGTCCTGGAGTGGGGGCTTGGATCTGGCTCAGGGTGATCAAAGCCAGATGGCTGGGACAGGTGGTCCGTACAGGGGGCCATGCTGGAAACATTTGGACGCTTGGAGACCAGCTCTCTCTGCTGTGGTCCAGAGGAAGAATGTGTGTCTGCACCCCTTCTAATCCCTTGAGTGCAAAGCTCCGTCCAGGACTGCTGGGCTCCAAGGAGCAACAGATCCTCCGTTCAGGGTTATGTGCCTGCCTCACCTTGGCTTCTAAGAGGTTCCTATGTTCAGGTGCTCTGCTTGTCTCAGCTCTCGAAATTGTCCTCACACCTCAGAGTTGGTGGTTATGCAATGTCAGTTATCTATTGAATGCTTACAATTTGGCAGGCACTGCTCTAGGCACTCGGGGTACAGCATGGAACAAAACTGGCAAAGTCTCTCCTCTCATGGAGTTTAAATTCTAGCCTGAGCAGTGAAACTTGCCAGATCTGGTCTGTCCTGTACCCTCTGTCTGATCTCTGCAGGGTCTGGGGAAACTGGGGGTGGGGGGTCGTATATACATTCCTTGGAAGGGAGGCTCTTTGGCATTTCCAGCAGCTGAGCCCAGATTGTTCCCCGCTCACTCTCGTCAGAACGCATCTTTAGACCCCATTGGGCTGTGGCCAGAAACGGGCCTTCCTTGATCTGAGCAGCAAAGAGTTCTGGTACCTTGCAGGTTGGTGCTGGACCTTGGACCTGGAGGCCCGCCCCAGTGCACTGATGGTGAGCTGGCAATTTTTAACCCGAGCCTGACAGCCTCTCCTTTTTGTTCCTTTTTCTTCCCTTTCAGATTGAGAAAATCATGAGCTCTATTGGAGAAGGGATCGACTTTTCTCAGGAACAACAGAAGATCTCAGGTATCGTACCATGCGGCCGTTTTCCCCTCAGAACACAGACCTTTGGCTCCTTCCGGCTCAGGTGTCTCCTGAGTCTGACAGAGGAGACAGACATTTAGGGGTGAGAGGTCAGCCTCAGACCGTGTCATGCTCTTGCAATTCAGAATCCGATCTCTTGAGGCAGCCCATCTGGCCGTTATTTGTGGGCTATGACTCCTTTTACATATTGGAGGGGAAAGTGTAGGGATTGAACTTTAGGCTGCCTGGTTTTTTTTGAGTGAACAATTGTCGTTTACTTGTAATTATTTTCGTAAGTGTCAGCTTTCTCAGATTGGCTTAAATTGGAGCATTCCTCAGAGCTGGTCACCCCAGCTTCCCAGGCGGCCCCGGCACCGACTCCTCATGAGAACATGGCTCTCATTTGCCTAATCCAGGACCCTGGCAGTGGGTGGGGTTGGAGCAGTGACCCCAGGCTGTTAACCTGCAGCGCCTGGAGGAGTCAGCTTGGCTCTTTGCTCTCTGTGGCTGTCTCCAGTTTTCCATTTACTTAGTCACTCCTGTTCTTACTTCAGATCTCTGCTACTTTGGGCATTCTTTTCCTTTCAACACCCTAGGGGTGAGGGCTGCCTCTGTTTCCTTTGTTTGAAACAGGGAACTAGAGAGGCCATATCTGAGCTCTTTTCCTTGATAACAGAATTGTGATTGTGTTGCTCTCTCAGGTGAGGTGACAGTTCTTCAAGGTGCCTCTCAGAACAACCCTCACACCCCTTCCCCCAGGCATCTGCAGGTTGTCCTGCCCCCAGGGCACCCAGGCTGAAAGCTGGAACCTGGCCTGTCCCCCTTGGAGAGGAAATGCCTCTGCACTGAAGGGGTAGGATTCCAATTCCGTGCTCAGGAGCCTCCATGCAGGATGACCTATTAGTCCCGAGTGACACCTCTAGCTCCAACCTGGGCCTCTGGCCCTGGCAGGATGTCTGATAGGTGGGGGCAAGTGTGCACTCTGGGGAGAAAGCTGCTAAGGGGCTTGTGGAGAGAGCATGGGCTCTTGGGTCTCAGCCCTGGGCTCAAATCCTGATTCTAAACACATGTGTGTCTTGGGCAAATCACTTAATCTCTCTGAGCCTCCCAGTTCCCTATCTCCAATACTGGATAATAGTACTTACCTCATATTGTGGGGAATGAGTAATATATACAAATACTTGGGCTAAAGAGGTACTCAGTAAATAGTAGCTATGCTTGTTTTTTTTTTGTTTTTTTTTTTAAAGATTTTTATCTTTTCCTTTTTCTCCCCAAAGCCCCCCAAGTACATAGTTGTATATTCTTCGTTGTGGGTCCTTCTAGTTGTGGCATGTGGGACGCTGCCTCAGCGTGGTTTGATGAGCAGTGCCATGTCCGCGCCCAGGATTCGAACCAACGAAACACTGGGCCGCCTGCAGCGGAGTGCGCGAACTTAACCACTCGGCCACGGGGCCAGCCCCTAGCTATGCTTGTTTTTGTCTATGAAATTATTACTGACTCGTACTGAGAAACCTAGAGACAAGGGGCATGTGCTCCCGTGGCTAGTCTCCCTCCACCATTTTCAGACTAGGTTCCTGGAGCCACCCTCCCTCCAGCCGCCTTGTTTCCCTGAGTTCTAGCATAGAAGGCCCAGCTGGATTTGGTCCATGTTTGTCACTCTTGAATTATGGTGGGGTCTGCGGAGGTGGCTCTTCTGGCTGAGTTTGTAGATCTGTTTCCAGGCGATTGTGTACACACAGGCAAGCAATCTCACGCTGTAGTAGTTTGCAGGCTTTACCAAGAGTCAAGTGTTTGTTGGGAATAGATGTTCCAGACTGAGACAAACACCCTTGCCATTTTCAAGCTGTGCTTTGGGCACATCCAGGGATGGGATCAATAGCAGTCAGTCCAGTGGAGGCTGCTTTCTGTTTCCCTGTACCTCCCTCTGTTGAAGGAGCCTAAGTCACTTGCTCGTGCTAGAGAATTTGGGGTCAGAAGCAGGTCATTCCCTCTTGGCTTTGATAAATCAGGAGATGTGGCAGCACCTGTGGAGAGCATTCTTCTGGAAGAGCCCTTCTCCTTGGAGGTGGTGACGTTGAGCTCTTTCTTTGCCCTGCTAGTCCCACCCGCCTGTTTTTGGCCCCCAGGAACCAATGTGAGTGGCAAGAGTGGTCTGATATCCCCCTAGGTTTCTGCATCCCAACACATAGTCTTGTTTAAGTACTTTTTGAGTTGAACCATCCTGCATACCCCAGCTTAGGAAAGTCAGTGGCAGGTACACGAGGGTGGCCACCTGAACAGAGGGTGCATCCACCTTTGCTGCAGAGCCCCAGCCTGCCATGTCTGTACCGCTGCCAGGCCGTGAAGCACGGAGAGGGTGGGCTCAGGCCTGGCCATGAACTCTATCTTCCATCTGACAGGGGCACTTTGCCCCGGACCTCGGGGAGCATCAGGCTTCAGCCCAGACCAAAGGAGAATTCTCATTTATTTTGAATGGTCAGTATCAGGGTTCAGATTGTCCTTCGACTTTTGGACTTAGGAAAAGAGATCTGGGCTCTAGGGTTGCCAGCCTGGTCGGGGGACCAGGCCCCTCCACCAGGTAGTCCTTAGCTAAGCATGGGGTTGCCCGGCATGACTGGTTTTGCAGAGGATCGTATCCTGAAGGGCAAGACCCTGTGTGGCACTTGAGTCTCACTCCTGTTTTGGGCCCTGAGTCTCGGAGCTGCTGGCACTGGAGCTAGTTGCCTGAATCCCCTGCAGACAGATTTTCCAACTCATCCCACAGTCGGGAGTCCAGGGAGGGTAAGCCTTCCCACTAGCCCAGGCCATTCTGGCTTCTTTCAACAAATGCCTGTTCTGTGAGCGAAAGAAAACGCTTGACTTTCTTTTGCTAAATTAGCCGTTTTAGCTGTCAAGTCGCCGGTGAGTACAGGCCCCTCCTGGAGCCCGATCTCCCTGTGCACAGAACCCCTTCTTCGCCAGGACTGTCTACAGCCTTTTGGGATGCAGGTGCCTCCCAGCAGGTTTAGAGGGTGACATCTTGTCCCTGGGGTTTTGTCTCTGTACACATTACCTTTTTTTTCTCTGAAGCTGTACTGGGGGTTTGGTCCTGGTTTCCCCTTGTCCTTGGTGCCTCCCCTCCCGTGCCCTCCTCCAGATTGTGAGTGGCCTGCTCTGGGCCTGGCGCTTCTCTCCTGGGCTTTGCCTGGCCCCAAGAGAGGTCTCTTCCCAAGTTTGGTACACTCGCCTGAGGAATAGCGGGTGTTAATGTCCTTATTTTGTCGCCTGTTTTTGTGATACCCTGTGACTTGTTCTCTGAGAGACACAATCATTCCTTAAGTGGTGAATGGGGAGTCACTTAACCTGTGGTCTATGCTTTCCGGGCAGTGTCATTCCTCAGTCCCCTCTCTGGCTGTCCTAGAAACTATCAGCCAAAACTATAGGAACGTTCCTTCTCGGTTCTCCCTGATAAGCTGTTTCCAGCCCTTTGAGCTGGAGGTAAAGTTTTGCTGTCTCCACCTTTCATATGCATGCGTGTCGGCCAGTATCAGATATTGGAAAATCTGTCATTTTGCTCTGATGCTAGTGCCGCTGTCTCCTTCTCCCTTGGTGGCAGCAGCAGCAGCCGCTTCTGCTCCAATGTCCGATTCCTGATGTATTTTCCTGAGCGTAGAAGGGAGGAGGGTGTGGAGGGGAGGAGGGGGAGGGCCAGACATTATGAGAGTGAGCAAGGACTGTGGAGCCGGCAGCAGTCAGCGTGGAGCCCAGGAGCCTTCAGACAAAGCATTCTGCTGCGGTTCTGTAAGCGCACACATCCACCGGCAGCAGGCAGGACCACAGCTGCCCGGCTGGGGGATTACAAGCAGGAATGAATCAGCAGCCGGGGACACTTGACTTCATGGGCAGACAAAAGCCTGCTGCTTAGGTTCCTGGAGCAGACAACCCCACTCAAGGGCAGGGGCGCTCAGGTATCCCCCAGACTCGGCATCTTGGAGTGCTGCTGCGGCGTGCGTTGGGAGGCCATCTGGCCCCTGACCACCGTCTTCTCGGCAGAGGACAGAGGAGAGGGGGAGCCCGGGACAGCAGGTCACCAGGGTCTCCTAGAGAACCAAGCCGGTTGGCCTCGGCCTGCCCTGAGGGATGTGAAGTGCCAGGATCAATGAATGACTTTCACCGTGTCAAGAGTTCTCTGGAGGTGATGTTTTTGTAGTTGGTTCTTCCTTTTCCTTCCTCGCACCTCTTTTTTCTCCCTTTTTCTTTTTTCCTTCTTTTATCCCTTCCTGCCCATGAGAACCAGAGAAGTAGGTGGGCGTTAAGGCGTTCAGCTCAGAATATCTGAGGTCCACCAGGAAGGGCTGAACTTTTTCCTCCCTGCACCACCACACTCCCCTGTCCCACCCAAGGAGCACAACAAAGAAAGGTCCTCCCTTGCCTGCTTATCCTTAGAGGAGAACGCCAAGTTCCGGAGACCTGGGAACACAGTTGCTGTCTTTATCACTCAGCCAAAGAGAGGACAGCGCAGAACGTGAATAGACTTAAGCCGCCACAGCTCAGCTGACAGAGGACTGCTTCCTTTTTCTCTCTTTTATCTGGCTGGGTTTTGTCTTCTTCAGCCAAGAACTGGATTTGCCGGCCTGCTTTCCACCTGAGCAGGCAGGCGAGTCGCAGGAGCAGCCACTATCAGAAGAGGAGAATGAATGCCCAGACCCTGCAGAAGAGCCTGGCCTGGGAAGGCGGCCCTTCAGACAGCGCCCTGGCCTGGGAGACGCCCCGCTCACCAGCGGCCAGAGTCTAGCTGTGGACTGGGCTCCGGGCCCCACTGGCCGCGTAGCCTGTGGGAATGCGATGCTGCCGTCCCAACAGAGCCACACCTGAGCCTGGTACCCGAGCCCTGGCCCATGCGCCCCACTCAGCCCCTCGCTGCCTTGAGCCTCTGAGCACAAAGGGCCGGCGGCCATGGTTTGCTTATTCCGGGACTGCTGGGGGCAAACAAGTAAAGTCTCTTCTCCCTCTGCCGTGTTCTAATGCTGCTTGTGTTGCATGTGCTGGGTCCCCGTGAACAGCTGCCGCTACTGCCCTCCTGGAGCCCTCGCTGTGTGCCTGTGTCCCTCGGCTGCATGAAGATGTGTGCTCTCTCCTGACCAGTTTGTGGTGCAAGGTCGCAGAACTTGTCCCTCGCCCACAGCCCCCCAGGAGCTCCAGGAGTTGCATGGATGAGAGGAGCTCCCCCAGCCCCTTCTAGGGCCCATGGGAGCAGACTTCCTGAAATACCTCAGTGTGAACGCTGACAAGGAGCTGACCTGGAGACCACTGGGGGTTGGCTTCCCCCGGCCTGTGGGCAGAGATCGTGCATGTGCCACCGCGGCCCCGGAGCAGCTCAGACCAAGGGGGTGTGAGAGGGCGGCAGCCGCCCAGGCTGGGGAGCGTGTGCAGTGCCGGGCCGCCCTGCCCTTGGCCTGTACACGGAAGAGGAGCTGCGGGTCCTCTGCTCTCTGCTCTCTTGTACATAGTTTGGCTGCTTTATGGTAATGACTATGATGTGGCAGTGCCATCTGTCTTCCTCTGAGTGCCGCTGCTACCGCCTTAATGGTTTTTCCCTTTTCAAGCGTCTGCCGATTCCTCTCTCGTCAGGTTCGCGGACGCTGGAGCAGAGCGTCGGGGAGTGGCTGGAGGCGGTGGGGCTGCAGCAGTATGAGAGCAAGTTGCTTCTGAATGGCTTTGACGATGTCCGCTTCCTGGTAAGTGCCGTGGCCTCCTCAGGGCGGGTGCTGCTCCGTGGAAGCGTGCTTCCCTGGTCTCCCCGCGGCCCCTGCTGGCGTGTGAAACAGTACGTAGACCCGTAGCCCCGGGAGGAGCTGCCTGACTAGACTCAGACATTGGGAAAGCAGCGAGTGTCCTGTGCCTTCTTTTTAAACTGTGTCCCCTCTAACCCTGCTCCAGAAACAGTTCTGTAGGGAGAGCTTTCTGCAAGTCTGCAGCCCGAGGAGGGTCCCTGACTGCGGACCTTTGCTCCCTCCGTGGTCTCCCTCTCAGACTTCAGACCAGGTGTTGTGCGGTGACATGTCAAGGCCATCTTGTTCTGGGTCAGACACCAGGAGTTTTGGTGGCCAAGATAGCCAGGTCCCTGTGGTGACTCCCTATCCCATCTCAGCAGGAAATCAGAAATTTCCGTTATTCCCCAAAACTTGTCTCTGGCAGAAGAGCCTTGTCTCTGGCAGAAGGCCTCTTCTCTGCCCAGCCAAGGCCAAGCACCTGGAAGTGGGGACCGTGGCTGTGCAGCTTCATGCATTCATGCACTCATGTACTCATGTACTTATGACCTCAGAGGTGGCCCAGAGGAGAGGCTGAGTTGGTGGTTTGAAGGGTTGGTTGTTTTTCTGAGGTATAATTTTGTACTTGCTTCTTACAAAACACAAGGGGTCAAAAAAGAGAGAAAAAATCTAGATTTCTTTCCACAGGCTCCCTGTGGAGTAGGGGCCTGGCTAGGGCCCTGGGCTTAGGATCCTCTGCTCCCTCTGTCAGTCCAGAAAGTAGCTCAGGGCAGGGTGCCCATGACCATCCCTCTCCTGGGAGCCCTGCCCGAGACATTGTGGGTGGGGCAGGGCAGCCCAGCCTGGGCATAGCTGAGCCAAGGACTTCAGCTCACTTCAGAGGCAGCACCAGCATCCCCCGGGCAGACATTTAATATGGTAATGATGATGAGAGCTGACACTTCTTATTAGTGCTTACCGTGGGCTAGGCGCCGTCCTGAGTGGTTTGCATTATTAGCTCATTGCATCTTCCCAGCAGCCCCGAGTGGGTACTCATACCGTCATCTCCATTTTCCAGATACAGAGCAGTTAAGGCTTGCTCACATTGACCGTACCAGTAATTGGCAGAGTAGGAACGTGCACTCAGGCACTCTGGGTCCAAGGGTCGTGCTCTAACCACTATGACACACAGCCTCTTTCCTGTGTGTGGATATGAGGAGTGGAAATGTAACCACTTCCATTCTTTGAGTCACATTCTTGCGTGTGTTATCTCAGGAGCTTGGTTTGAGGCGAATCTAGCAAACCCTTCCCTGCTCCTCTTGGCTTCCTGGCAGACCTGTTCCCTGCTCTCACCCATTCCTGGGAACTCAGTCCTGAGTTGACATTGAGTTGCCTTCCCTCTCTGAAGCAGATCTAACTGTGCCCACCTCACTCCGCTGCCTTGGTTGAGGGGCTGTGGTCAAAGTCAGCCCAGAGCTCCCACCCCTGCCTTCTCCTCTCCAGTGTGGGTTTCTGTGGGTTTCCCTTGATGGGGTTGCATTTGGTGCCTGGCGGATACCAGCCTGCCCAGGGAGCTGGCCTGGGGCTTCCAGGAGGGAGCCTGACTAGGACAGCTCACCTCCCTTGGGCCATCTCCATCTCCAGGGTAGACAGTGAAGTCTGCAGCAAACCACCCTTCCTGAGCCAGCTTAGGACCAGTTATTTTTCAGCTTTTAAAAATCGTAAGTTTTAAAATAGCAATTTTTTTAAAAGTTAAACTGGGTATTATTTACGGTTCTTGTAACCTAACCCCTGACTTGCCACATTCCTCGGGGAAGGCTCACACACCCAGGACAGAGGTGGGGTTCAGCCAGTGAGCGGGGACGATTGGTCCCTGGTGCTGAGTGATGAGGGGCCTTCCCTCTCTGAGCACACCTCTTCACCACCAGCTGTCAGACAGGCCAGGGAGGGTGGCCGTGGACTTCACAGAGTGTCCCCTCCCTCTGTTCCAGTATCTTAGAAGCTGAACTCTTGACTCCTCATCCTCCTTTGGCTGACTTTGGAAAGGGTAAAGTTCCCATCCCTTGGATATCAAGACTCCTTTGAAACTGCTTTTCCACCCCTCCCTGTGCTCCAGACCAGAAAGTAGCTGGGCGTCTGAGGAAGTCTGACCCTGGCCAAACGTCCACGCAAGATGCAGGGCCTCTGTTGGAATGTGTCTGTTCCTATTCAGGAAAGGCACTCATTGAGGGAAGCCAGCAGCTCAGTTCTTCCAGGGCCCTCCTGTTGCCCTGGGTACAAGCTGTTCCTTGTCACTGCTCTCTTGATTCTGGAGGGGCAGCTGGTAGGCAGAGTCTGTACAAGAAGGAATGCTGATCACACCTCAGTTGAGCATGTTACTTCAGATACCTGGAGTGGCCTGAGTAGCCCTGCAAAGCATCATGGGTAATTGCCTGTCAGCTGCCAGATGGGCTGTGGGGCTAATTAAGTTTGAGCAACCAGAAAAAAGAGGAAGAAAACACAAGAAGGGGAGCACTTTTGTTTAGAAACCTTCCCTCATTGTGTATGGTATGACTTACATCACATTAGCTGTGGTATATTCCCATGTGGTTTGGTTTTCAATAGGCTGCAAATGTTTCCCTTGGTTCTGAAATGCCCTGGAGACTCTTCTACAAGATGCACAAGTAGCTCCCAGGAAGCCAGGCTCCAGATGTAATAGGAACGTCTGGAAACAGGGTGTTTCACAGACGAGGTGCTGCTGTGGGATTTCCCTGTGATAGGGTCCTACAAGTTTCTTGTGGGAGGAGTAAGGGCATTTGTGGGGTCACAGCTCCCTCTCAGGCTGGAAGGGACTTGAACATCCTGTGGTCTAATCATCTATGCCTGCATCCCTTCCAGATAATCTCGGCCATGATGTTTCCCAGGGATGGGGGTCACCCCCTTACAAAGTGGTAGCCCGTTGATTCTTTGCATTGCTTGACTGATTTAGAGCAGCCTTTATATTGAGCCAAAATCTGTCTCCTGTGGTTTCTGTCCTTTTGTTCCATGTTTACCTTTTGGGGCCACGCAGAACACACTTAAGCCTTTTAGAATTGAAGTCCTCTGTCTTGGCCTCCTGGGCCCTGTCTTGCCTCTGTTCACCACTTTCTTACTGCTGGCTGCTCCTCCTGTGATGCGATGCCTGAGCTAGACAAGGAAGCATTGCACTTCGACTTTATTCACACTCTCTGGCCTGCAGGCAGAAAGGGCCTTTGATTTGCAAGGGTCAGGGACTGGGCACTGGGGGCTGCCAGGCGCTCCCTAGGCTGATGAGGCTGACACCAGACCCTGGGGGACAAGGGCAGGGCACCTGGCTCACACGTCCGCTGGCCAGCCCACCCACCACACTGGCTCACGCATGATAGCCAGTTCCATTTTTCACCACAAATCTTGTCCACAGGAAATGGGCTTTCTTAGAAGAAGAGAGGAAATGCATTTAATCAGCACGGAAGGAAGGTAATTGGTAGTTGGCAGGTTTGTGGCTCCAAGCATGCTGGTGCAGGTCTCCGTATCTGTGGCCTCGGCCTAACTTCCCTTCACGGAAGTGTTGATTGAGTAAATGACGGTGCTCCTCATGCTGGAGTGTTATGTGGATGTCTAAAAATGTTTTTGAAGAATGTCTGATGTAGGGAAAGATTCACCTCGGAGTGTTGAGTGAAGAAATTGAGACACAAAAATCTATATGCAGCATGATCTTAATTTGCAGAAAAGAAATATGTATGCACAAGAGGTGCAGGGGAGTAAGCCAAAATGTTTTCACTGGTTATCTAAGAGGTTACAGGTGGCTTCCTTTGCTTTTTTGGAGTGTAATTGATTGTCTGCATTTCCTACAGTGAATGGTCCTGAAATCAGAAAAGCCAATGATGTAGGTGTCTTCAGGAACTGATGGTCCAGCTGGGAAAACAAGGGCCATAACGCAATAAAAACAACAGCCCGGCCAAGTGTTAAGTGCCGCAGTGAGGCTTGTAAGTGCTACAGGAGCGCAGGGGGAGGAGAGCCGCCTCCCTGTGTTTACCAGGTGCCAGGCGCCGTGCTGGCGCTCAGCCTGAGGGCTGTTGTCGGTCGAGGCACAGATGGAGCTGCTGAAGCCCAGAGGGTGGAGGCGCTGCCAGTAAGTGGCAGAGCCAGGACACTGGCCCAGAACTGTCCGACTTGGAACCTCTGGGTGACACTCGCTGTCCTGGGAGTAGTAGAAGCTGTGGGACTTGGAAGGACCACAGGGAGAGGGAAGGCAGGTGAGAGGCCCGAGCTGGCTGTGCTGAGCGAGGCTGGCTTGAGTGGAGTGCAGGCCAGGGCCCTGACCAGGCAGGAGAGTGGACTGGGCCTGACTGCAAGGGACCTTGAAAGCCACGCTGTGGGGGCAGCCCTGGGTGTGTGGGGAGGGGGTCCTCTGGTTGTGCCCTTCACCAGGCAGAGAGCCTGTGGAGTGAGGTGCATCTTAGATGGCAGGGCGCAGTTGAGAGCAGGCATGTGACGGGTGGTCATGCTGGGTGGATGGTCAAGTGGAAAATGGAGATGAGCCTGGCAGTGGGCTCAGGATGGGCTAGACATCGAGACTGAGTCGGCAAGGCCTTCGCCTCTCACGGCCTGCACTGGGGAGGCCTCTTGCTCCTCCCATCCATTTATTTCTCCACAGGCTTCTGCCACGTGCAGAAGGCTCCCACTGTTTGCCTGTCTGTTTCTGAGACTGTGCCAGCTTGTGTCCACGGTGGGAGAGAGATGACAGGTGAAGAGGAGCGAGCCCTGAGAGAGCCAAAAGCATAAGTTCAGGGAGGAGGTCCTTCTTGATTGGCACCTGTGAAGCTTTCCAGCCAGGTCTCCAGATCCCTGAGCTTCCCTTCCTGCTCCCATCCCCCAGATCAGCTGCTCACTCTTCAGCCCTGGAAGCCGGCTTCATGTGCGCAGGGGGGCTGTGCCCTTGGGTTCCTGCCCTGGCTTCCCACACTGCCTCCTCAGCCCTCCTCTGACAT